CAAAGGAATGAAGGCCCTCACTTCTGAGCTGGCCTCGGTTGGAGCGTCTCGGCTCCCTGGTTGGGGTCCGAAAGACGATGAACACGTTTGGTTGGACACACTTGCTGATATGGCTAGGAGCCGACCTCAGTGGCGTTCGTGCTGTGAGTTTCTTTGTCCCACCCCATCCCTCTTAGCCTCCCCCTCCAACCACGATCTCATTATTTAACCTCATATAATTTTGCGTAGTAATTTTTTTGATGCATAGTAGCTTACCGGAACGATGCCCATCCGTTACCGGTAGCTCAGCCGGCTTGCCCCAGTTGAATTCTTTTTTTCTCTCCTCTTTTTTCTGTGTATTGCGGCACAATAGCTGAGGTGTTCCTCACATCTAGCTAACGTGTATGATGATGATCTCGACGATATCTTAATCGTAAGCCCTACACGAGAAGAACAGATGCGCCGCGTTCGAACACTTTTTGATCTGTTACCCCAACACGGGTATACGATCAACGCAAGTGTTCGTTTTGTGTCGACTCAGTCATCGTATCTCCTATGCAAACGTCGTGCTACTGCAGAATAAAATTCAAGCCATCATCGACTACACCAAGCCTCATTCTTTCAAAGGACTTAGGCGTTTTAATGGACTTGTCAACTTTTATCAACGGTTCATATCAAACTGTGCGTCACTGATGCAACCCTTCACGAACCTTCTCTGAGGGAAACTCAAGAAACTCGAATTTCTTGTCGCAGCGCGGACTGCTTTTACGTCGCTGAAAGAGGCTGCCGCGAACATAGATTCTATAGCGTATCACGACCCGGCAGCCCCACTGTCCATCAGTACCGACGCCTCGGACGTGACAGTCGGCACTTGTTTGCAGCAACGAGTAGATAACACATGGCAGCTCTTATTGTTTTACTTCCAACGCCTACAACCTACCGAATCTCGCTACAGTACGTTCGAGAGAGAAATACTAGCCATATAGGTAGCGATACGTCACTTTCGGCACGTATTAGAAGGTCGCACTTTTGCCGTCTTCACTGACCATAAGCCGCTAATGTACGTGCTCGGCACGACAACCGACCGATACTCCCCTAGCGAGTCCCGCCACTTAGACTATATCGTTCAATTTACGACCGATATTCGTTATGTCTCAGGTGTGTGCAACGCCGTAGCTGATGCACACTCTCATGTAAAAGGGGTCTCCGTGGACGCAGGCACTGTTATCGAACTATCAGCCATGGCAGCCGCACAGCAAAACGATCCCGAGGTCGATATATTATGTAGGTCATTTTCACTTTCAGCCGTCCCGTTAACAACATGCAACGGCACTATTCTTTGTGACACATGGCTAGGCACATCGTGCCCAGTCGCACCACGCGAGTTCCAACAGATCGTGTTCGACGCGGTGCGTGAGTTATCTCGCCTAGGCGTTCGTGCCTCGGTTAAACTGATAACTACACGATTCGTTTGGTGCAATGTTAACCGTGACGTCCGCACTTAGGCTACTGCTCGCCTACCCTGCCAACGCGCGAAGGTGCATACGCACGCGCAAATGCCCAGTAGGAACAGTTTCCACGCCAGATGCACGTTTTCATCACGTGCACGTAGATCTCGTAGGTCCTCTGCCGCCTTCGAAAGGCTCGGTATACCTGTTAACTTGCATCGACCGATTCACTCGATGGCCTGAGGCCATCCCTATCCCCAAATGCAATCAGAAACAGTCGCGAAAGCGTCCGTACAACACTGGGTAGCACAGTATGGCTGCCCTGCCATAGTGACCACGGACCGTGGGTCACACTTTTCGTCCACGTTCGCCACCTTGCTTAAGGAGTTAGACTGCCGCCATCTCTAGACGACGGCGCATCATCCGGCATGGTGGAGCGTTTTCATGGCTAGTTGAAGGCAGTGCTACGTGCACACGCAAAGCTTTCATGGTCCGAAACACTTCCTCTAGTCCTTATAGGCTTAAGAAACACTGTTAAGACGGACTTCGACGGAACGCCAGCATAACTAGTCTACAGCTGCATACTGCGTTTGCCTGGACAATTTCCTTTTTTGACTACGGAAGTTGCACCGACCGGGTGGCTCACCAGATGCTCCTCGATCGCGGAAGACATCATGGTACGTGCCCATAAAACTATCAACGTGTTCACACGTCCTACGCGCAGATGGTGTTAGCTAGCCTCTTTAGTCGTCGTACATAAGACCTTTGAAAGTGCTACACCGTACGAATAAGAGGTACACTATTGACCACAGTGGCCAACGCGAAGTCGTCACCATCGACCGCCTCATACCAGCTTTCATCGACGGAGCCATTGAGCCTATGGCTACTTCGAACACTTAATGTGACGCCACGAATAATCGCGCCACAAGTACTGACTTAGACTGGTTTTCCTTTCTTTTTCGAGCTGAGCAATTGTGCTGCAGAATTTTCGTCCCCAGTCTGGGTGACATCATCAGTAATTCACTGCTTAGCGTACAAACTAGTTCAGTGTGTCGTCGGCTCTTGATAGATGGTCCGCTAAACAGTGAGGCACTGACGATGTCACATAGACTAGTGACAAAACATCTGCAGCACAATTGCTCAGCTCGGAGAACAAAGGAAAACCAGACCAGTCAACCCGAGCTACAAGTATTCCGGTTTATCGCAAACCGATTTACGCTCATCGGTTAGGGTCATTCCGACGTCATCGTCTACTGCGAGGTCGCCTCCCACGACCAATCGTATGGTCTGAAGGTCCGTACGCCTGTTCCATTTTCCGACTATGTACAGTGTAAATACGTTTAGGTTTGTAAATATTTGCCTCGTTGTGAAAACACAAGAAATCCAAAACCTCAGAAAATTAAAAAATCTAAACATGTTTGCACGCAAGTTAATCGTTTGTTTCTTTTGATGCGTTCTTCGAGGGTATTGTTTTTTTGTTCCTACATGTCCCGATCCGATCGACCGGACCTCACGAACAGTGTCTTTGAGGGCCGCCGCAGTCAACGAGGATTCGGACACGAATGCGTGACGTTTCTTCATGGGACTAAGGTCATTATGACGCTGGGTGGATTGCGGCGAGGGGAGAGGCCACTCCCAAGCGTACCGTTTGGCAACAGCGGAGGTTAAGGTCCTCTCGGCCATTTTCGGTTCTAGCCAATTATTTGATGTCCGACAAGCCCGCTCCAAAGGCTCGCCGAAATGCACCCAGCTCTGCAATCAATAAATAATACATAACAGACGGCACGGTAGACTCCGATTTCCCGCGAACTCCCACTTTGCACAAACGCTCACTCAGTTACCCGGCACGATTTTGCTCAAAAAAACGATATTGAAGGCTTCTTATGCTTAGTCTTCTAGGGAGGGGAGCTCTGTAGCGCCCCAAAAATAACTACTACTGGTTCACTCTGCCTGAGGAAACTTTTGTGTCAAAAGCGGAACAATGCCCACACACCATATCTACGTTTCTGAAGTCATGAGTTCTCGATCGGTTCCAAGCTGTTGAACAATTACTATCTTTTATGTACAATTTCATTGTTGACCATTTTTTGTTTTAATCTTCCTTACATTACGGCCATGTTGGCCTACCTCCGGCTCGACACTCGTCTGCTCTGTAAGTTACCGTACTAACGTTCGCTTCCATCTCGCTTTATCCGTCCACGTTTTTTGTAGCCTGTCAAATATAGCCCGCTGTGTTCGACTTCATTTGCCTTCTGATATCTGCGCTCGATTACGCGCATGGTCTTGGACTAGTATTTACTAGTCATACAAGTCGAATGGGTAGACGCGTAAACTGACAATTAACTTGTCCTTCGCTTCTTTTAAGTTTAACTCTAACCATTCTAGAGGACCTGGAAAACACCTACTTGCTACACGTGATAAATGATTGTCCATTGTGACCTAATGCGCCACCATCGTGTCACATATGGAATCGGAATGCACAAAAGCGTGCAAAGTGCCAGGCATGGTTTTGGTTCTCGTTGGAACAATCCTCTTGGCTTTGTAAATCGGTTCTGCTCCACTTTGGAGTTGATAATTTGATTAACAAAATTCATAAATGATTACCAGTTGCTTGACCGTGACATTTGTGAATCACGTTTCAGCTTCGTCATTCAGAGTTATTCCGTCGTTAGATCATGCATGGAAACATTGCAGCTGGAGTCCAATTTTGACAGTAATCTCGTTCTGATACCCAAATATGCAGATGATGTTAAACGAGTCACAAAAATTAAAGCTTTGAACCGATCATGACACTCTTTTATATTGGAACCTTCTACATTTGTTGTTTACGCTTCTTGTATATGTCACAATATCTTTTCCCGCTCTAGTAACTATTAAACAATTTCAACGAATGTTAAGTATAGACCGTTCCTCAAAAATGGTTGTGAGCTTATAAACTGTTTCTCGCTAACTGAATCACTTGGGTCCTTTTGGCAAGACATAATTGCAAAATTTGTTGTGTTCGGAATATCCAAACTTCCATATTTCCAGCGTTACATTTACTCATTCGTCCAACACTGAACCGTCGACAAGAAAAATGTTGTTATATCCCTTGTAAAAAGATGAAAATGTATTGCCACTGAATTACAGTTGAATTCTTGAATTCCAATGATCAAAGTAACCTAGAGTTGAATACCAGTTCTAGTCAGTTCTGGTCTCTCCGGTCGAATGAACACCTAATTAATGTTATGAGAAATTTCACCCAATATATAATCGAAAGCGCTTACACACTGAAATCCACGTTTGAATGTGACAGTGCGTGAGCCGAAACAGATGGCAAGCTCTCTAACGAAACTGGGTGTTTACCTATTTCCCCGTAATCAGAAAAATTGTAATGCGAAATGAAAAGAGGAATTTTAAAGCGTGTCTAGTGGAATAAAGACCACTGATGAAAGCCAAATAACCGCACCATCTTTAGTAAAGCCCTTATGAGTAATAAGTGGACATTCGACAGTAAACGTTGCGAATGTAAAAATTCCCCCCCCCTGTACGTTGGAAACGAGTATAAATGGCGTCTTGTACACGCCATTTCCCGTCAAATCGAAATAGTATCACAAGAAAAATTAGAATGTGTAATCTATTTGTACAACTCGATTATGCTATCATCCTTTCTTCAATTGATTCCATTGTCTCCATTGGTAAACCTGCAACAAAAAAGCATGAGTGTATGAACGATTTAAAATGACAGGCAATGAGAAAAGTGAATGCATTAACAGCTAGAATATGTCATTTTGCACAGTATGAAATGAAAGAAACTATGCGGTGGGTCACATGAGGAAGGTAACAAATTTTTTTAATTAGCATGTGGATGAAGGACACAAGGTTTGCAACTTGAGCGAAGTTGGATTTAAAGTTCACGGAAGTTAGACCGATGCAGTGACTGTGAGTAACAAATCGGGCAAATAAAAATGGGACGGAGTAGGTGGGGAGATAATCATCCAAGTACCGTCAACACATATTAAAAGTCAAGCATCTGAAAATAATCGCAAAGAATGAATTACTACGAGTTAGTGAAAGAGCAAAAGCGATTAAGTGGGCCATAGCTCGATTTTGGCGGACAACCAATGATCACACCACCAACTCCTCCGCTGCAGAATGCAGACGGTCCTCTGCCAAACAACTATGAAATGTGGAAGATGGAACACATGGGCCTTGTAAAGCTGACCGAGCAATGCGTAAAGGCAACTATCCACCGGTTGGACGCATCCGGGCACAACGACAATCGGTGAACCGGGACGCTAAACCCGCAATATATACGGAATCGTCCGTGAACACTAAGAAAAAGCGACGTTGCAGAGAATCCTGATCCAAAGGAGAGGGTATCAAACTATTTGGCGTCTCCTGAAAACACATAGAAAGAGTGTCGATTTCATTAAAGAGTCAGTTTTGTTTCTTCTAACTGATCATTCTGCGCACTCGTAACTTCTCGCATATCTGAAAGAGGTAATGGGAGAACTCTGCAACTGGTGCAACTACCTCGAAAAGAGTCCACCATGTCACTTCACTAGTGACTAGAAAAAAGCATGCTACATAGAGCTCATTTTTGTAGTTGCCTAGCCTTTGCTTTAAGGTTAATAGTGCTACAATCCGAACAAATATACGAGGCACGCACCTGAACGCTGAGCGGCTACACATCGCTTAGCCTCCATACTATTCTGTTTCACTGTTTCACATCCGTATCCTTAAACACATTTTGTAAAATGTCGCTGTCTACGTTAAAATGCCCGATAATCTGTCTACACATGGCCTGCGCTGCAGAATAAGTGTCCCACGGGTTTGCAGCGCATGTGGCGACGGAACAGCTCACCAGGATCATTTCCTTATCGTTCTCCGATTGACAACCACCACTTCATAATTTCTTGTCTCTAGGATTTTGTCCCTTCTAACTTGACAAGTATGCCGTTTTCAATTCACTAATTCATCACTACGCTTACGGCAGTTAAAGGGGCCATTAGTCTATTCAACACTAATCAACTGGAAGTTTCCCGGTTTGTCTCCCGTCGGTCGACCCTACATTTGTTTAAGTTATTGCACTAGGTTAGTACAAAACATGTCAAGGCTTGGTGTGAGGTTAAGATAAATGCACATAACATGGCAACACATGACAAGATGGAAAAAGGTAAAGTAACGCAAATACATGGATATCGTTCCATAGTTTTCTACTGATGCCATTCGTGATCCTCGAGTGACGTCGATAATCATCTCTGGCATTTGTGTCGTTTTGGCATGCAACTTTAGCTTGTTTAAATTAGATGAAATTCCTGGAGATTTGATCCTGTGCCAAATGTGAAAAGCAACACGATCTGGTTGGATTGATTGGATGCATAAACACGATCAAATTACAGTTAAACCATCGGAAAAATCTAAAAATCTGTGGTCCGAATGATCGAGGTCTCAATACAGATGATGTGTCGTAATCCAACCACACGGCGGGTACTCCATATCCAACTATGAAACTTCAACATTCCTCTGCAAAAACCAAAACCGAAGCTCTACATAGTTATCTGAAGCACAATCAACACGCTTTGTACTCGCTCACCCCATACCGACTGCACAAAATTTTCGCGGTTGCATATATACGTAATCACGAATCGCTGTTAAGTATAATCAACAGAGATGCTACTCTAATGGAACCATATAACCGTTTATCGAGCCAGATTTGTCCGGTATCGCAGCAACCCTTGTCATCACTCGATATAAGTATCTAGCTTAGAGCACATCTGCTCAATGCGCAACTCAGTATAAATTACTTAAAGACACAAACTCGGTAATTACTAAGAAATAGGTTCAGTCAAGCAAAAAAGCTATATAACTGATATTTCTCGCGTCGCAAGCAGGTGTAAGTCAATTGCTGATATAAGTGCATGTTAGATACTACCAGGATGCATAGATCATAGGACGTGATCAATCCGTGGGGTACGCGTAGTATAACTGATGACAAATAGGAATAAACATAACCAAGAACAGCGAGCTTTTGTGCACAGGAATCTGACATGGTCTAGTCATACTGTCCGCAATAACAACAGTGCAGGGTGGAGCACGAACCAAATATCGTTGGCTGCGCTTGTGAATGGTAGACCTGATCGTATCGTCTTGTTGAGTTATGGGCAAAAAAACGAACAAAACAGTGTCTCAAAATTGACAGTTGAAGCGTAGCAGCCACTCACACAGCTCCATCATCACTAAAGCTTTCACTATATCTGTCCGAATATCTTCCAAATGAGGTCGAAACGCGTCGTGGAGTGCAACGTTTTCGGGCGGGCAACACACAATTTCCATCGTCTTCCACAGCATTTCTCAAATCTTGGTACATTGTGCTATGTCGGTTCACGGGTGTCATTCACCTGCTCTACAATCGGAGTCGATGTGTGACGCATCCAGAAAATATGCATACACAAGAGCAGTAACACATCTGAACGCAAATAGGGTTAGGTTTCAATGAGCAACGTTGTAAACCTCGTGTCTTTCTATATATCTTGTGACATTTACGACATTCGAATCGCTTCCTTTCTTGAGCGGATCCCAGTTAACAATGGAATAGTCGAGATCTGACATCGGAAGTCGATCGAAATTAACAAGAAGCAGCCAAATGCAAAACGCTTTTCGTTGTGTCTACCTATGTTCTCACCGACTTTATCCAAGGAGCTTATTCCTAATTCGAGTGAATGAGGTGCCGGTATTGCTATCGCTGCGAGTGATGCGAGTGCTAAAGTGAACCAGAACAGGGCTTCAGAATCCTTTTTGCGTTCGATATCTATCACCTTGTCTTGATTTAATAGTCATGTTTATCTGTCCAACGAACTAACCCACTCACGCCAACCATTAAGCACCAGCGCTGCTCATGGTGCCACTCAACTCAGACAACGCTCTACCGCCAAAGAGCAGGTGTCTGAGATCATCATAGCTGAAGGGCGAAGTTGCTGAAACCAGAGTTAACACAATCCACAATATCTGGCGGGAACACCTGCCGCCGGAGTGCCAAATGTCACTTGAGCTCGAGGGTAACTACCATTTTTTGAAGGATATTCAGTGTCATGTCATTTTACTTGTCACTTAGAATTTTTAAATCACCTTGTCAGTTCACACGATCGTCTCAACCAAGGCTGTTACGTCTTTCAAGCATGACAAATGTAAAATGTCCATACCCTAGCATTGATCTATCACTCATGGAACCAAATGGATACAATACACGCAATAGAGAAAATTCTGTGATGCTAAAAAGGTCAAAGACAAACATATCAGGAATCTTTTTCCTAAATCCTTTCCTCTGCCAAAAACAAAACCGAAGCGCTACATAGTTACCTGAAGCAAAATCAACACGGTTTGTACTCGCTCACCCCATACCGACTGCACAAAATTTTCGCGGTGCTATATATACGTAATGACGAACCGCTGTTAAGTATAATCAATAGGGATGTTACTCCAATGGAATCATATAACCGTTTGTCGAGCCAGATTTGTCCGGTATCGCAGCAACACTTGTTATCACTCGATATAAGTATCTAGCTTAGAGCACATTTGTTCAATGCGCAACTCAGTATAAATTACTTAAAGATACAAACTCGGTAATCACTAAGAAATGGGTTCGGTCAAGCAAAAAAGCTATATAACTGGTATTTCTCGCGTCGCAAACAGGTGTAAGTCAATTGCTGATGTAAGTGTACGTTAGATACTACCAGGCTGCATAGATCATAGGATGCGATCAGTCTGTGGGGTACGCGTCGTATAACTGATGACAAAAAGGAATAAACATAACCAAGAACAGGGAGCTTTTGTTCACAGGAATCTGATATGGTCTGCTCATACTGTCCGCAATAACAACAGTGCGGGGGTGGAGCACGAACCAAATATCGTTGGCTGCGCTTGTAAGTGATAGACCTGATCGCATGGTCTTGTTGAATTATGGACCAAAAAACCGAACAAAACAGTGTCTAGAAGTTGACATTTGAAACGTAGCAGCCACCCACACAACTTCATCATTACTAAAGCTTTCACTATATCTGTCCGAATATCTTCCAAATGAGGTCGAAACGCGTCGTGGAGTGCAAAGTTTTCGGGCGGGCAACATACAATTCCCATCGTCTTCCACAACAATTCCGAAACATTGGTACATTGTGCTAGATCGGTCCACGGGTGTTATTCACCTGCTCTACAATCGGAGTCAATGTGTGATGCATCCATTTTTGAAGGACAGTAATGTTTCGCTGGTGAACAGCCTATGAGAAAGTGCTTTTAAAATGACATTACTCAAATATAGAGACTCAACGAGGCCTAATGAAGATATTCGTCACTGAATCAAAACGCGTTATGTGAAGGTTCGATGGCGCTTTCCAGAGTGAAGCCAATGTTGCGCATACAGCTGGTGAGAGCACCGAGTGAGCAATGTTGAGATCGTTATTTGGCGTTTGGTAACAGACCTCCGGGTGTAAAACTTAAGAGTGTAGAACTACAGCTGCCTAAGCCAGGGATAAGTCAAAATTCACATGCCTACAAAGCTGCTATTTGATGTGTTACCAGCTAATAGTGCAACGATTCGGATAAAACGCAGAGGTGACCATTCGATGTAACGGAAGAAGAGCAGCAATAGGCCAACAGATGTGTTCTCTGGTCGGTAACGTCGTCTTTAAGGATGAGGACTTAGAATCGTCTACGGTCTGCAACTCTGGGACCCGAAACGTCATCGTGCAAAGCACAATCACGAAGTCGATAACACTTGTTCCGGCACTCATAATAACAGTTGTATACCTCCTTGGTTTGTTCTCTTCAGATTGGCTCACGCAGAATTTTATTGTACCGATATACTGGACTATGTTGTTGATATCATTCGTTTAGCGGTGCGAATTGGTGAACATCACTGACCAAAGATGATCAACCAAATGAAAATGCGCTAGGACCGTCAGTAGCAGGTGGACATAATGGTGAAGAGAAGCAAAAGTTTCCTCTCAAGAAGACAAAACATAGGAGACCCACTGGTATTTGAGGAAGGAGAGTCTTCTTCGACAGTCACGGGCGGAGGTTCGGTGAAGTATAAGATCTTTCCGCTATATGAAATCAAAGCGCACATTGAGAGGTGGAGTTAATGTTTAAAATGGAGTATTAATGTCGTGAAAAATGGCAACTTATACGGATCTTTTGTATACATAACATAATTGTAAACATTAACAGCAGTACATCAGTGGCAATCATAGGTGACTTGGTGGCATACAGCAATAGACAAACAGAGACGTACTAATTGTTAAAGAAGCGAGTCAAGATGCCCAAATGCTGAGAAAATCAAACGGTCACGATCAATTGACAACCACAGAAAAATAAGGAAAGTCGGCCATACAGCCAGATTGTGATCTTCATTGGCACGTTTCATGTCCAGCACATGTACAAAGATAAGGTTAGCACATATCTTACACAGATTGTTTCCTCGCAAGACCCTATGATTATGCCATTGCTTCTCTCCCAACCCTGCATAAGGTAGGTTTTCCGAAACTCAGCAAACAACCGAGTTAGTGTTTGAGGTGCAGAGTTAGTATTTACTGCATAGATTTAACAAGAAAAAGATGAATTCCGTTCGAACATCATGTGTAAGTTAGCTGTTTTATTAGGTGATTTATATCCGGTCACTGAAGTGAAGCGGATCCATTCGCTGAGTTACGTCGCCATAATAATGAGTGGAGATTAAAGTGGACAGAAGAAGATAACTAAGAAACACTGAGAAAGTGGTGAAGAAAGAGAGCGCAGCAAAAATTGAATTAAAATGGTTAACCGCTAGATGCAAGCGAAGGAATGCAGGGACGCCAGCGGCTCTACGAACGCGCCATTTCGGCAAAGGTAGGATGCTGCAGGACAGACTGATATTTGTGAAGCGCCGTGTCGAAAGTTCTACCAAAAGTGATGTCGTTCGTCGCTGAATAATGGTACATTAGGTGAAATGATTGCAAAGAAAGCGTAATGTTAGAAGAGAAAACTGTCATTAGAGTAGGAATGCAGTTCTATGGTTCATCGGTAGGCGAGACACTACCTAGTCATTTAGGCCGAAGTGGGCGCTTGGCTTGAAGGCTACCGTTCCAAGGACTCCAAGAAGAAGCCTAGCCCGCAAAGAGAGCAGGGCGAGAGAAGAGGTTAAAGCTCATCGGGAGATAGCGATAGGCCATACAGGGACATAACATTAAACGTTTGAGACAAAACCCGATGGTCAGATGATATGCCGGTGCTCATTTCTCCAGGCCAACGGGTTTCCGGGTGGTTTAGGCCTCCAGTTTGTAGTTCAAAGAAAGTTTGTTTGAGCCTGCCTAGGTGCTAGTCACCGCGAAGTATCCATAACATGCACGCGACCGCTGATGGTCGCGTGGCAGCGGAGTGTCGGTGCGTGGTACTGGCGTACTACTGACGCGTAATAAGTTCTTATGGTGTCACAATCGGGCACGTCACGCTGCATTCGTGCGGCTAGTGTTGCTTTGTTTGGGAAAACAATTACCGGGCAAAAAGCTAAATCGTTCAGCAATGCTGCCGCATCGTCCGTGACTGCCTATTTATCTCAAAGCGAGATATGTAAAAATCATTCGCTACAATCCCCCATAAGGAACGCATTTCTAATCCGGAAAGCAAAGAAGTATCCGATAGCCGTCAGCTCGGCTGCAGCTGATGAGATTAAGTGGTTATGAAAAGATACAATCCTGAAAAATGCCAATTGCTTTCGGGTAGGTATCGGACGGTTCGCAGCAGACCCTAGTGCGGTGTGATGCGTGGACACCAAGGGCGATCGCTTCCTTTAAATCGAGTAGTTGTAATCCATCTTCCTCATGCAGGGCGCCGGTTGGACACTTGCTGCAGTGTTCAAATACAGTTTAAGCAACACAAACTGTTGTTCTCATCCAAAATTCCAATTCCGTGCATGAGACCGTGCGCAAATAGTGGCTTACGCAACTTTGAACCAACGAAGTTCACTGGACAGGGAAGAAATGACGCATTGTGCTGGTGTCCTTCTGACGTTTACGTCTACCGAAGTAAGGCAGATCAATGGTTTAGTGACCATGGCGATAGTTGCCAACCACTATGTGCCGAGTTCCACTCCCAATTCAGACTATTTCTACCTGATAAGTCCAAACCAGGATGAAACCGTCGGTCGTGCAGTGCAGTGATGGGAGAGAGAAACACCGAAATTCTCCACTTCTGTGACGGTCCCAGTGACCGTATTAGCAGAAGCTAACTTCAAAGTCAACCGAGGCCACAGTAATTATTGCGTGTCCCAATCCAAGATACACGGCAGGTACTCCAAAATCCGATTATTAAATACTCATAGTACTTGCAAGAAAATTGCCTTTTTTCACCAGGGGTACTATAATAGATGCGCTCTAGTAAGTTCGGACAGCTTCTTGCGCACATATCTGATCGACAGAATCGGAAAATCCTTAGTAATGAACCCCACAACTGTCGTTAAATGAGGGGAGCACGAGTGAACGGAGATCAATGGTGCGGACAAGGGTGAGGACTAGGATCACATTTTAAATTTCCGATTTGCAAGGTCTCTGAGTTAAACACGCGTTGTTTAATCTGCACAGACTGAATAAGAAACTGCTGAGGCAGCAACACAACTAAAATGTCGGAAGTCCTAGAACTAACGAAACGGACGGCACAGGATAGTTATAAGAATCTGCAAGATTCCCGCTCTTTTTGCTTCCCTCATTCTCTGGCATCTCGTTGTCCATCAGGTCTACTTCGTTCTCTCGGAATCGACAGTCTGAGAGCATTATCAGCCTTATCGACAATACTCCCTTGATGTACACAATCACACAAGACTTATTGGTAAAATTGTAGTACTTCTTGGACAACCTCTCGGCTAGGTCCGAATCCCGCTGTTTTGCAATGAGCGAATCAAAGTGTAAAGATGTTCTTTCCTCGCTATCTAAGAAAATGTGTTACCAGCAACTCCTTACGCAAACTCCAAATCTTTGTGTTGACAGTGTCAGTCTGAACTCCTGTACGTCAGTGAAATATCTTGGAGCTACACTGAGCCGTGATCTCACGTGGTTCCATAACGTAAAGGAAACATTCACTAAAGTCAGGAAATTATCGTCATGTCCCCCAATTTAGATCTTCATTCGTGCCTCAGCAATGTGTGACAGTTGCCAGAGCAACTCGAGTGACAACAGTGCATCCTTTTCCTTTTGTTTATACATCTGTGAAATTCTGCCTTTCTGATGGCCATGTTATTTCCTCTACAGTTGACAATGCAGAATGCACCCATACGGGTACGTAAAGCTCATCTTAGTTTGAAACACAATGGCCTAAGAAAGGAAAAATAATGAGAGGAAGCGGGAGAGCTGACGTAAAACGGAAACGCCCTGAGCAAACATGCATAATGAACATCAGCATTATATACGCTAGATGCAGGTGAAAAACACCTCAGTTATTGTGCCGCAATACTAAAGAGAAGAAGAAGAAAACAACAGTGGCACGCCGGCTTAATCCCCAGTAACGGATGGACATCGGCTATCGTGCCGTAAAAAGAGTTATACCATCCCTAACGAATGGCATCGTGATTGGAAGAGGAAGCTAAGCAAGAGGGAGATGGACAAAGGAACTCACAGCACAAACGCCAATGGGGCCGGCTCCTAGCCATGTCAGCAAGTGTGTCCAACCAAACGTGTTCATCGTGCTTAAGACCCCAGTCAGGATGCATCAACTGACGCGAACTTCGAAGGATTTCATTTCTCCCGATCAGGTCATCGTTTGGCCTCCCCTCATCCTCTTCTAACCGCACCTCCGGCGCGCAAACAATGCACGTCGCAGGAGTCGGTATGCTGGCATGCGCAACACTTGGCCCAGCCATCGGAGCCTGGTGCGTGATATAATGGTGCTCATTACTCCATAAAGACTCATTACCGAGCAAACTTTAAACAGGCAATCCGACTAGGAGACGATAGAAAACGCACAACTGTTGCTGACTACATGCCATGTCCTGTAAAGTCTCAAGCTAAGCACAAGATGGCTAGCAAGAACTCGAGCCTGGATAGTGAGACAGATCGTTGACACTTAGTTTAGTCGTCAGTAGCTTCATTTCAGGTTGCAAAATCGATTTTTGCCCGTACTGAGTTTTGAACCATCAGAAAGTGGTATAAACGTTGATTATGTCCAAACTACCATTGGCGACTTTGGTGATTATTCAATGTGACTTTAGAAGTAGAACGAAGTTTTGAACGCCCATAGTGTGCTTCTGACCCCCTTCATGAAAGTGCTCCCACATATCTAGCAAAGACGAGACACGATCATCTAGCGAATCCGTAAGCAAACGCCAAAAATTATGCACTCATCCGTTGCAGCTGTGACAGAAGTAGCATCAACGATTGGCAGCATACTCTATAGAAAAAGACCGTCAGCAGCGTTGTCAAGGTTCAAATTGAAGGCCGAGTAGGAAGCCAATAAGCAGAAGCTCGTAGATGTTTGCAGTGTTATGTGAAGGGTTGGCCCCCACATCTGTATGAGAAACGTTTGAGAGGGTGTAGAGTGACCGTGTCCATTATGGAGGTTCCTGCCGACTCAACTCGCCGTCGATGGAATTAAAATTGGACACAGCAGGAGATAGCGATTGTTGCAAGGTATGGCTCACCTGAGGCCAAGAAGCAAACTGTTTGGCAATGGAATAGTACTAGTCTAAATGTGTCAGGCATTTTCTCAACAAGTTCGAGGTCCTACCTAGTAAGGGTCATTAAGTAGCTGGTAGTCCTGCAGCAACAACATTTTGCAATTTAAAGGAACGAAGAATATCCAAAACGATGGGACTACTCTGGCGAAGTTATTTAAAGTTGTCCGGACAACCCAACAACGTTAAACAGCAAGACAATAGCGTCCGTAAAACCAGGATTAACTAGCCTTTCACCAGGCAGCACCTCAACGCCTGTATTGTGAGATTCCACAAGGGAACACTCCATTATGGAGTCCACGGCGAAGTTGAACAAAAACGGGGAAATCGGACAACCCTGAGGAACGCCACTATCTATCTATTTGCTCTTCCCTTATCCGGCTCCGCAGTACGGCGGTGGACGAAAAA